TGGGAAAAGTAACTACCAACTAAGTATAAAAGCTAGATTTAACCATGTCTTGGTATGAAAGGCTTCTTTTTGTTTTCATATGGTTTAAAAGACAAATGCATCAAATAAACATAAATATATGTTAAGAAGCACACATGTAAAGAAATAATTTGTGAAAATAACAACATAAAAGTGGGAGAAAGGAATGGGATGGAAAGAGTACTAATGTATGTTATTGAAGTTAAATTGGTATTACATGATGTTTTGACCAAATTCAAACTAGATTTTTATATACCAAAGTGTTAACTGCACTCCCATGGTAACCACTAAGAAATAACTTAGCAGGTCTGTAATCCCAGCACTTGGGAAGCTGAGGCAGGAAGATCTCTGAGAGTTCAAGGTCAGATTGGGCTACATAGTTAGTTTAAGGCCAGCCTCAATTACAGAGGAAGACCCTGTCTCAAAAAAAACAAAACAAAACAAAAAAAACTACCTTAAATATGCGCCTAAAAGTCAATTAAGAGGAAAGCAGCTGTGTGAAGTGACACAGGCCTGTAATCCCAGCACTGGGAGGATCATAGTGAGTTCAAAGCCAGCCTGGGCCACATAGAGGGTTCAAGGCCAGCCTGAACTACCCAAAGAAATCCTATATCAGAAAACAACAAACAAAGAGAATCAAAATGGTACACATGAAAAATATATATATACCTGAACCAAATACATCAAGGAAGCAACACTGGGGGGATAGAAGAGAAATGGAGAAAAATATAAGACATATAGAAGAAATAGCACAATAGCAGAAGTTAATCCTTCATTATCAGTAAGTACTTTAAATACATGAACATATCAACTAAAGGACAGATGTTAGAAGAATGAATTCAAACAACCTAATCCAACAATATGCTGCTAACAAAAGATTTATTTGAGACCCAAAGACAAAAGTAGGCTTAATATTAAATGAGAGAAACAGATATTCCATGAAAATAGTAGCTAAAAAAGAATTGGGATGGGATCAATAAAGAAAGCAGGACTTAGGGGCTGGGGATTTAGCTCAGTGGCAAAAGCGCCTCCCTGGCAAGCGCAAGGTCGTGAGTTCGGTTCCCGGTACCGGAGAAAAACCAAAAAAAAAAAAAAAGAAAGCAGGACTTACTAGTACAAATCAATGTAGACCTAGAAGACACGTTCAGAACACCTGAGAGCAGTAAGATGCGTGGTCTTCTCAAGCGCACAGGGAACCATCTCCAGGAGAGAACATACGTTAGGCATAAAACAATTCTTAATAAATAATAAAAGGTTAAAACCACACAAAGTATTGTCTCTAGTCACAGTGGAGTGAAACTAGAAATTAATGACAAATGGAAAACTGGCAACTTCACAGGTACGTGGAAATTAAACAATATACTCTTCCACAAGAAATGGGTCCAACAACAATATACTATGACATGGAGATGAATGCAAATAAAAACACACACATTAACATTTATAGAAAGCAGGAAAAGTAGGACTTAGCAATCTCTGGCTGGATGATAAAGCCTAATTTAGAAAGAAAAAAGAACTGAAACCTACTACCTAAGTTTGTACTTTAAAAGTTGGACATGGCAGTCCATGTTGGTAATCCCAGCACCCTGGGAGGTTGTGGCAGGAAAATTGAAAGTTTGAGCCTAAATTGGGCAATTTAGCAAGACCTTGTCTTAAAACACACACACACAACAAAAAAAAAGGGCTGTGGGCAGAGCTGAGGTGTTGGGTTCAATTCCCAATGAGAAAGACAGAAGTATTTTGTTCCAGCAATGATAAAGCTGACCAATATATAACGTTAATAAAACAAACAGAAAATACATAATAAACTCAATAGGAGCTTCAGAAGCATTTGAAAAACTTCAGCATTCTTTCGTGATAAAAACACTCCACAAATCAGAAATATGGGGGGACTTTTGTAGAAAACCCACAGCTGACATGATAAAATACTAAAAGCTTTCCTCTCCTGTTATGAGGGTCAAGACAAGGATGCCGCTTTAACCACTGCTATTCACTATTGTACTGCAAATCTTATTCTGAGCAATGAAACAAGAAAAAGAAAAGCAAGGTATTCAAGTTGGAAAGGAAGAAGTAAACCCGTCTCCATTTGGAGATGAGATGATTCTACATATACAAAATCCCACAGAATCCCAAACATTTATTATATCCAATAAATTTAGCAGTTCCAGGATCCAAGATCACACATAAAAGTAGTTGTTTTTTGTACTCAAGTAAAAAGAATCAGAAAAGGAAGTTCATTAAACAATTCCATTTACAATAACACTGAAAAGAATAAACTGCCTAGAAAAACAGTTAAGCATAGAATTCAGACATATGCTCAAAATTATAAAATATGCTGAAAGAAATTAGTGAAAACAAAAAAAAATGAAGATATTCCATGTTTAAGAATTGGAAAGGGAGGGCCAGGGATGTAGCTCAGTGACACAGCACCTGCCTGGCAAGCGTGAGGTCCTGAGTTCAATTCCTGCTACCAAAAAAAAAAAAAAATAGAGAAGTTAATATTGTAAAGATGACAATACTCCCCAAAGTGATCTACAGATTCTAGAACCTCTATTAAAATTCTAGTGGCTTTTATGCAGAAAAGGAAAGCCAATCCTCAAACTCATATGTGCCTGCAAGGAGCTCTCAACAGGCCAAACAACACAGACAAGGAAAAAAAAAGTAGAAGGACTCAGATTTCCCAATTTCAAAGCTTGCTCCAAAACTACAATAATCAAAACAGCATGATACTGGCCAAAGGATAGATATATAGACCAATGGGACAGAATGAGTGTCCAGAAATAAAATATCTATGAGCTATTGATTTTTTTTTACAGTCTTGTGCCTGACCCCTGCATCTCACATGTGCCAGGCAAGCTCACTCTCAATGAACTACATCCTAGACTTTCTTGTAAATTTTACTTTGAGATGGGGTCTCACAGCATTGCCCAGGCTGACCTTGAACTTGTTGTTCTTCTGTCTCAGCCTCTCAAGTATCTGAGATTACAGGTGTGCATCAGCATACTCAGCTATGGCTTGTTGGCGTTTGACAAGGACATCAAGGCCATTTAATGGAGATAATAGTCTATAACACATTGTGCTGGGTCAAGCAAACAACTGCAAGCAAAACCATCAAACTCCGCTCTCTCTCCGTATGCCAAAATTAACCCAAAATGAATCAGTGAAACTAAAAATAAGACCTGAAACTATAAAATTCTTAGAAGAAAACATAGGAGTAAATCTCTGGGCTTTACGTGTAACAATAGATTTTGTTGTTGTTCTTTTTTGAGATGGGGTCTCACTATGTAGTTCAGGGTGGTCTTAATATCACTATATACCTGAAGCTGGCCTTGAACTTGCAGCAGTTCTCCTGCCTCAGCCTCCTGAGTGTTGGGATTACACATGAGCACCACCATACCTGATGATGTAGCCACAAATTCTTAAATTTCACACCAAAAGCATAAGTAACAGCAAGAACATCATAAATATATTAGACTCCATAAAATGTAAGATCTTCCGCATGTCAAATTATATCATTAAGAATGTGAAAAGATAATTTATTGAAATATATTTTAGTAGCTTAATATCTAGAATACACAAAGAACATTTGCAACTCAAAAACAAAAAGACAAACAGCTTAATTTTAAAATGGACAAAGGAAAAAAATGGACAAAGGATTTGGATAGACATTTCTACAAAGAAGATACACAAATGACCAATAAGCTTATAACAAGAAACTCAGCACCACTGACCATTAAGGAAATGCAAATCAAAATCACAAGATACAATTTCCTTTTCATTAGGATGGTTATAATAAGAAGAGAGAGAGTGGGAAGTATGATGATGTGGAGAAACTGTAACCCCCAAGCACTTCTCCAGAAATGTAAAATGGTGTAACCACTTTGGAAAACAATCTGGCCATCCTGTGACAGGTTAGCACAGAGTTATCATAAAACCTAGAAATTCATATCTAGGTATGCACTCACAATAAATAAAAACATATATCCATACAAAATCTTATACATGACTCTCCCTAGTAGTTTTTTCCATAATGGCGAAAATAGAAACAACTCAAACGTCTAGAACTGATTAATGAATAAACAGTAGTGGTATATCCATTCAGTGGAACATTATTCAGTCATGAAAAGAATGAAGTACTGACATATGCTATAACTTGGAGGAAACTTGAAAACATAAGCAAAAGAAACAAAACACTGAAAAATGTTTTATATAATTCCACTTACATGAAATGCCGAATCTACAGAACAGGCAAAGCTACAGAGACCAAAAACAGATTGTTTGTTGCGAAGAATGGGAGAGAGAACAGGATGGATAATGACTGCTAAAGGATACAAAGTTTCCTCTAGAATGGTGGAAATGTTCTGAAAAGTGATGTTATTTACACAAGCTTGTGAATATACTAAACCCACTGAAGGGGAACACTTTTAAATGGTGAATTTTATAATGTGTGACAGTGACCTTGGTCACTTTATATTGAGAAGGCCACTATAACTGTGATGACAGATAAGAATTGGGGCGAGAGGCACAAGTGAGAAAGACTAGGGAGTTTACTGTAGAGAGAGTGGCCCAGATTTTGTGTGTCTTGGGACATAAATGACTCTTCCAGCTACAGTGGTGGGGGGGGAGCTCTTCCAACTACAATTGCACTTACCATGGTGCTGATCTCAAGGGATTTGATTCTTTGGTAAACTCCCCTGGACACTCATTTCCCTTCAAGGTTCTTGTTCTTCATCCCTGTCCTGTGATTTGCCTTCCTGAACTGCTGGCCCCAAGGCAGTCTCTCAATGATTATGTGCATCTGATGCAACACCTCACATACTCTTTAATAACTCCCATTGCTCCGTTGCCCTCGGTGGTCTGAGCCCAGTTTCAGTTCAAGAGTTAAGTTGAAGTTTTGCCCCCTGAGAAAAGCCGTGTCCCTTAAGGCCAATCCTTTATGTATTCCTGGTCTGGAGAGGGCATAGGAGAAGAATGGAGCTGAAAAATCAGGGTGGCTAGAAGATGGGAGGCTCTAGCTCTCCTTGGCCACTTTGGGTTGGAGGTAGGTGATGACTCCAGGGTCCTTTCCATGTACAACACCGAGAAGGCTCCTGCCACAGTCTAATGTGAGACCAGTGTGGGCTAGTGGGAGGAATGGGGGCATCATTAGGCAAAAATGCTGGAGTAATAGGATTTCAGGAACAGTCGGTTTTATCGGGAACTAAGATTTGTCTGCACTGGCTTGTGTGTTGAGTGGAATTTAGGACAGAGGGTAAGAGGGAGAGAAAAATAAGGACACACACCATCCTCTCCCCAACCCACTACATCCTTCGTGCAATTTCCCCCTACTCCCCGGGCAAAATGGGGTCAGTCACACTTTCTTCCCTCTAACGTTTCCTTTTAATACTCTTCTCTTCCTCCACCTTCCTTCTTGTCCTGCCTACCGTATCTCCCACTCACTCCCGATTTTCATTCCTTCCTTATTGCCACCCCTCCACCTCATCCTCCATACTCTTAAATCTCGTGTTGAATCAAGCCTGTTGTCACTCCCAAAATGACCGCAAACTGGATTCACTCTTACTTTGGGATCCCACTTATTTATCCTCCCTTCCACTGTCTCTGAATCATATGTGGACTGATTTCCTAAAAACAAAGACCCAGTAAGAGACATGACTGAGTAACAACAGAAAGTTGTCTGGAAAAATATTTGTAAATTACGTATGGAGGAATCCTTTCTTTTTTGTCACGCATATCCTCAGCCTTCCCATCTGAAATTCCTCTAAATCTACTCTCTACGCATGGAGGTAGAGGAAGCATTTCCAGAGATCTTTACAAGTTTGTGGAAAGAATAATGACTTTGCTCAGATGATGCTTCTAGGCTTGCAAATGTGGTCATGTTAGGAAACAGGATTCTTTTGGATTTCCTTCAGGGTCTCTTAAACAGCACTCTTTTATCCAATGGCTACCCATTCTCTTCTCATCTCTCAGTGACTGGTCCATCCCAGCAGTGAATCCACAACCAAACATGCATTCTTTCAGAACTCATCTGTGAGAAAGCCTGTGTGCTCACAGTACTGTGGAGTAGCCAAGTACTGGACTTGCATTGAAATGGCAACACACAGGCAGAGCAGTCCTTGTGGGGAAATACCAGCACAGGGCAATGTCATAGAAGGGTGACTTACTCTCGAGTCTTTGGAGGGATAAAATCAGGTGGATATACAGGCCTGAAAAGCAATCCAAGTGGGGCACTGAGCAGGTGAAAGACACTGAGACCTGAGGAACCAAGCAGGAGATCAGTGTGGCTAGATTCTCAGAGGACAGGAGGAAGGGAATGGGGTCCATTGGACTAGGTTCAGAATCTCAGCTTTACTACTTCTTCTCTGCATGCAATTATTTAACCCAAGTCTCAACTTGCAGTGACACTTGCTATGCTTTAGAAACATGAGAATAACCTATGAGAATCAAATAGGATAATGCATATAAAATATTTAGTATACGACCTAGCACATAGTAAATGCTTAATAAATTTTACTATCATGATAATTATTGCTGCAACTTCTACAACATAGTAAATGATTACTACTACTACATGCCAGAGGAATCTTTGTGAGAAAACCTCTGAAGACCCACTGAAATGTGAATTTTTTCTTGCAGACGGTAAGGAGTTATGAAAAAACATGAAAACATTTTGAAGTAGAGCAGGCAGACATCTTTTAAGAAGTTTACTTATGTCCCAGTGTGGAATAAATGGATCAGTGCCTAAAGGCAGCAACCTGCTTGGAAGCCATAACAGCAAGTCAGGAGGAGGAGCAATTCGGCAGTAATTCCCAAGGAAGAACCAATCGCTCTTGCGACAATAGATGCAGGATGCAAGGCTGAAGAAGTGCAGCTGGGTGTGAGGACAGGAGGCAGAGAAGAACTTGGGTTTGGAGTAATAAAGGGTAGGAATGATTATGGGATGGTAATGAGTGGTACGTGGGTCAGGGGAAAAGAAAAAGGGAAAGGAAAGACCAAAGTTGCTGACTGTGTTTGACCATTAAAGATACCGTGGGAACCATGAGGGCGACTCAGTTATCAGGAGCGGGGAAGTGGGCGGTTTCAGTGGTCCTGGAAGTCACTGTCTCCTTCTTTCCTCTTTCACACAAGGCTCCACTGTTTCCCAGCGCTTGCATCTCTCCCTCCTCTCTCCACTCTCCCCTCTCCTCAGTGCTGTGAGGTTTCCTCTTTCCTGAGTGCTGCCTCTCACACACGTGGGTCATCTTCAGGCTTCAGCAGTGCGGGTGCCAGGCAACAATGAGGAGCTGTTCAGCTCTTACAGATGTCTTCTCTCATTACTTTTTAATTTTTTTTGAGACAGGGCCTCACTATGTAGCCTAGGCTGGCCTCAAACTCAATGACAGTCCTCCTGCCTCAGCCTCCTGAGTGCTGGGATCACAGGCTTCTTTACTTTTTAAATTAAAATTAATATTTAATTTTCCAAAGGAGAAAATATATGTTCAATCACTGGCATTAACCAACTATAACCACTGTTAACATTGTTAACATTTTGTGCTTTAATTTCTTTTTCTTTTTCCTCAGCACTGGGATTAAACCCATGGCCTCTTTTGTGCTAGGCTACATCTCCAGCCTCATCTTTTCTTTTCTTTTTTTCTTTTCTTATGGTACTGATGATTGATCCCATGAACCACTTGACTACATCTCTATTCCTTTTTTTATTTTATTTTTTAACCTTGTGACAGTCTCCCCTTTCAATTTATTATCCTCCTCAGTATCTGGGATTATAAGTGTGCACTGCCACACCCAGCTTGTGAGATTTTGTAGCTGGTATATTATGTCAGTTTTATATATAATAGTAAGAATTGCAAAATAACTGCCTATGTTTCTGGGGGATAACATTTCCTCACATGTTATTTTGTTTTCAAATGTTTTCCTTCCACCATGATTGATGCATAGTATGTTAAAAGTAAAACTATCCAAATAGCACAAAGACATCACGATCAAAACTTAAGTATCTCTGAGATTTTCCTTCTCCTGTGGTATTATGGAAATACTTATACACCATATTTATGCACCCAGAAAGTAGAGGGAGTAGCATACTGAGTTTCAGCGTATTAGTTGGTGACCATTTTCCAGAGTTACCAACAGTTTACCAACTTTGCCTTACTTTTTCCTCCCTCTTTCCATAGAGTATCTTAAGTGAAGTTCAAGACATTTGTTCATCCACAAAGACCTCCAGTGTCTGTGTCTGACTGGTAAAGGGGTATAAAAGTATATGGTAATCGTAATCTTAGTAAAGACCGTAAGGTAAAATAATGAAGGATGAGGTTGGCATTTCAGGAATGATCAGGTGGGAGGGCTAGAGCTGGGACCAGGAACTTTCTCAGAGAGGCCAAACCATACCGTTAAACCTCTGCCCATCCAGTCTTCCCTCGATCACGTGATAGGGCAAGGACCCAAAGCCCATGCCAACAGCACTGCCCTCTGTTGGAGTGGCTCCACAATGCCTTAGGAAGAGTCTCCCCTGCTGTTCCCTGTTGCAGCATTTTGCCCATGGTCCTTGAATGATCCCATCTAACTGTGTCTCCTCATGTCATCTCCTAAAGAAGAGCTTGCAGGGGCTCTCCATTGCTTATACAGACATTCTTCAAATGGTCCCATGCTGACAGCTACAGAATAAACAAGGTGCATCTTCCTGAAGCATAACTTTTATACAAATACTGGAAGATAAATATGAGATTTATATGAAGATAAACATGACAATAGATTGGATACTGTAATCCCTCAGATAATTTTACAGATAATTCTATTTTATATTTGTCTGCATGCCAGGCAGGGTGGCCCACACCAGTAATCCTAGCACTCAGGAGGCTGAGGCAAGATGATCGCTGTGAGCCTGAGGCCAGCCTGTACCACATAGCAAGACCCTGTCTCCAAAACAAAGTTACATATATATGGTGTTTGGTGGATATCTTTTTATAAATGCCCATTCAGTGCACATCAGGAAAATTGCCACTGCTCCTTCTATGAATCAAGTGGAAATCAGAAGAGCTCTTTTTATGTTTTATTGTCTTCACAGGGCAGGGTCCCATGACAAATTTTCCTGAATTAAAGAAAACAGTTCCAGAAATATATAAGCTAAGGGGGAAAGTTACTTAACACTGAAGAACTTAGTTTGTTTTTTCCATGACTGTCTGCTAGAATTTTCACTTACTGAACTGAATTTTAGAAATATGTTTATCCCTTATTCTCCATGTTCTATAACACCTCAATCTTGCCGATCAAAGTTTTACAAATCACAGTACTTTCGAAAGATTTCCCAAAGATTGTTTAGAGATATGTGTTTTATAGAATATTCACATGAAATTTTAAAGGTAAAACATGAGAATTCGAGGAATTTTTGTATTTCTCCTGAGTAAGTTATCCTCATAGATGGCCCATAGCAATGAAAGCCGTTAGAGAAGTATTTATGTAGAAAAGTGTGAGAAACCCTAGTTATCCCAGCTTCATGATGCCAAGGTCTTCTGCTAGCCTCCCTTCACATTAATGTCTCAATTTGTAGATGACAATTTCTTCTAACACACATCTCTCTTCCTTCAGTAACGAATGATAGGCAGCCCCTCAAGCTTCTGCTATGAAGAAGTATCTTTCTGTTCATCTAAAACCTTTAATCTTTACACCCCTTCAAGATGTATGCACTTGGGTTGATGAGGTTTGTGGCTACAGGTACTTGCTGACACACTCATCCCCTCATTTATTAATTCAAGTACACTTGAGGAGCCTGTGATTCACAAGGCATAATGTTCAGTATAGTAGGTAGGAAAAAGAATCAGACATAAACCAGTATGGTCCAGAGGGGGAAACTTTCCCATAAATGTCGGTAATAATGTAGGGCATAGTTAAAGGAAAAAAATGGGAGCTTTGAAAATGTATTCATGTTCATGGAAACCTTCCCTAACTGGCAACACAGGAGGACCTTGATCAGATCACCCCTGACCCCTCAAAGAAAAATGACAGAATTTTCACCCTTTGTTTTGTATTGCATGGTATCTCTAGACAGATGGGGAAGACCCCATGGAACCACAGAACAACACATGGGTGGCAGAGTTTGTCCTCTTGGGTTTATCACAGATCCAGGAACTCCAGAAACTCTTGTTCCTGGTGTTCCTACTTGTCTACATCATCACGGTTGTAGGAAACCTCCTGATCATGATCACAGTGACTTTTGAGCCCCGACTCCACACACCTATGTATTTTCTGCTCCGAAACCTGGCTGTCATTGACCTCTGCTATTCCACGGTCACCTGCCCAAAGATGCTGGTGGACTTCTTTCACGAGACCAAGACCATCTCCTACCGGGGCTGCATGGCCCAGATCTTCTTCTTCCACCTGCTGGGAGGTGGGACTGTCTTCTTTCTCTCCGTGATGGCCTATGACCGCTACATAGCCATCTCCCGGCCCCTCCACTACGTCACCATCATGAACACTCGGCT